TGTATTAAACACCAGTCCCTCATCAGGTTCTCGAACATAAAGAGTCATCAGTTACGCTCTGATGCTCGGTGTTTTCCAGATAAAATCAGGTGGGACCCATGGCTAAAGGTAAATTAGCTCTAATGTCCTGGATGGACTCTCCCAGAAAAAATAATAATAACAAAAATCTTCTGGTATGTTTCAATCCAGTCTCAACACCTCACATGTCCTTCTTTGTGTTAATAAAGTTTTAATCTAAAACCTCATAGAGAGCTCACAGTACTTAGAATTATACCTTCTTTCAGCTGAGCCACACAATTATGACATTATAATACTTTTGGATTCCACCTGTAAACAAAGAATACGTCATTAAACTAAATTATGCCAGCCTCATTGCTCTTTTGTGATTTTTTTTCTTTGTCTTCCTCCTCAAAAGTGCTTAAAAGTGTGAAAAATCGCTTTCCATTGTCCCCCTTAATCACTCTGCAGTGGGTCAGATGTTAATATTTGTCTCCGTGCGACGTCAGGCCGACTTAATTTGGCTTCCAGTTTAAGAATTTGGCGCATTTTGAATAGTTTATCTAGACTGAGGTTTGGTTATCTGGAAATGGAAACACATTCTAAAAACCTAAAACGAGCGCCAGACTAAAAACAGGACACCTGATGACGCAATATTAAAAAAACATTTTGTTCTTTACACAGCAATACATATTGGCTAAGCCAAAACCCCAGAAATTACTTACCGATTCCAAGCATCTGTGAAATTGTGCTTGTAAATTATTACAATGAAAAGCGTCTGGGGGTCCCTGAGGGGGAGGATTTGGAAACGGATTCCCGCAGAAATAAACCAAAAAGCTATAAACTGAGTGTAGCTCCACTCCTACTCAAGCTGACTGATGTTAGGAAAGAATCAGACAAGAATGTGTGTGATTCTACGGAGGATCTATTTTTGCTGGCGTGTTACTTTACTCTGCCAGGGGAGTCCACGGGTTGAAAAATATGTAATGATATTATATGTATCAAATATACCTCTTCTTAGGTCATTCCCTCTTTTCCGTCCATGCTTTTTTCAGAGCCAAAATCTTATCCAGAAAAAGAAAACACCATAAAGGCCGTGAGCCAAACAAAAATGTCCTTGATTAAACTGCTGACAGCAACATTTGACACCTGTTTTTTGAGGCTCTTTTAGTTATTAACTCCCTGTTTTACTTATTTATTCTGTAAATGAAACCTAATAATCCTTTCATTCACCCATGGTTTGTGTTTATGTTTATTCATTTAGCAGATGCTTTTATCCAAGTCGACGTACAATGCAAAAAAGGAAAGACTTGGACGGGCTCATAATCTGAAAGCAACCACATAAAATGTGATACACATAGAGCTACATTAGTGTGATGCCACAGGAATTTGGCGTTTCCAGTAAAACCGGGCTAACAATCAGCTCAAATAGTCTCCGCAGGACTATTTAAGATACAAATTACACAAGAGTTCTTTACAGAGCTGAACCAAAACAGCAAGCTAAAATAAAACTGAAATTTCTAAGGTTAGCAACATTTATAACGGCTATTAGAAAGTGAGGCAAATACCAGAATAATGGCAAAGGAAGGAAAAGTAAAGGAAATACGACACAACTCACTAAAAAAGAAGAAATTGGAAAGTTACTAACATGTATTGATGGAGCTGTCTGAGTTGTGAGGATTAAAGAGAAAAACTTTGTCTGCAGACTGAAGCTTTGAAGGCAAAAGAAGATAAATATTCTGTAATGACCAGCTCAGTGCTGTAATCTCAACCCAAACAGTCCGCGTTTCACCTTCTGCAGACACAGCTAACGGCAGCAACCGCGCAGACGGGCAGCAATTTACAGCTCCAGGAAAAGAAACTCTTGTTTTTTGCCCGTGTTAATGTGTGCGATTATGTATGCGCACGAACGCCGGCTCTGTGACGGCCGGACTCTCTGAGTGACGTAAAATCACAGCCGAGAGGCTTCGCTTTGACCTTTGACCCCAACCCGTCTTCTAAATATTTCTGGGCAAAACGTCACACTCCGTAAATCCATTCCCAGATCTCATTGTGCACAGACATGTTTGGTTAGAGAGTTGTGCGTTTCGGTGGTTTCTACCGAATCATTCTTTAAGGTACTCTGAAGGAGGAACAGCTTTCTGTCTTTGAGGAGCCAAACTCTTTTTTTCAGGTGCAAATATTGTAAAAAGCCATCCCAGAATTCCTGCATAGTAACCTTACGATAAAGTCTGCTGTAAAATAATCACTTAAGAGCTTTTTCTGATTAATCGACACAACAAATACGCATACAATCAAAGTGGGAGTTCCTACAAAAAGTGCTGACTTTAGGTTCTTATTCATTTAAAGTATAATTGCAAATCTAAAGAATTACAGATGATTAAATCTGCCATCTGGGATCAGATGAGAGGATCAGAATCCCTCATATTTATGCATTTTCAAGTGTGGGCTTACAGGTTTCCAAAAATTAGAGTCAGCACACAACACCAAATATTCCCTACGCACAATTTGATACATGTATAGAAAGTTTTGTTTGTAGCTATACAAAACTTTGGCATTAAGTAAATACACTTCTCTTCAAATCACAAACTTTAAAATGTGGCGTTTCATTCAAAAAGAAAGACTCAAGGAATCCCAGACCGGCCTATCGGGTACAGACACACAACAGAGGAGATCTTGGTGTGTTTAGTTGTGTAATTGTCCAGTGGGAGGAGCCTGTATGTGTTTGGTCAGCGGGAAAAAAGATATCTTTATTATTCAAGAGGGATTTTAGTTACTGTAATTTACACAAGGAGCTTGTTTGTGTCTCATTATGTCTGATAAGAGAATTGCAAAATGCAGCTTGCTTGTATAACCGACTTTTCTTATTTGTTAAGCTACAAATCAGGTTGGAAGATGGAAGCCTAGCAACACCTCAGTGAGAAGCAACCTACTGGAAAAACTAACAGAAAGTAACATTGTTTGGATAAGAAAGGCCCATATTTGAGGGAATCCTTTGGTGGTTTATAGCCTGAAGGACAAGCTGGAAAACAACAGCAGCTAAATGAGACACCTTCCCTTACTGGAGTTAAATGTGAACTGTGTGAGGAGTAAACCAGCCACACTAGATCCCAAAACCCTTTATAAGGACAGAATATCATATAAACAATCTCCAAGTGATTGAACTGAGGAACTCTTTTGGTCATCATCGGGTCTGAGGACACCAAACTGACTTTGATTCCTCCAATAGAGGAATATTCAATTCAATAAAATTCATTAAATGATCGATTATGAGTTTTAATTTATGGGAAATAAAAACTGAAAGAAACTTGGATGTAATTTACCAGCAGGACATGACCAAAATAAGTGGAATGATAGAGATGTATGAGTTACCACAAAAAAAAAAAAGATTGGATTGTTTACATTTGAGATTCTGATCATTTTTAACATAAATTAGAGGCATTACAGAACAAATAGGTCTAGTTGGTCTCCTGTAGGATCCCTTCTCCATGGCTTTCTATTCCAAGGAACTAAGATACTTTAACACATTGAAGAATGCCTATTAAGTTTTTTTTTCTGAAAACCTCAGAACTGAATGAAGTGAACAAAAAGCAATTTTCTTCCCAGGTCCATGATCTCATGATTAAATAACATGCTCCAAAACTAAACAGCCTTTGGAGAAGTATTCACAGCTGTTAGCTTTATCCTGTAGATCTTCAGGTTGTGAGGAACTCCAGCTCACTGATCTTAATAAGATTATTTTACAAAGTGATGGATCTTTTTACTCCGTGCAGCACATTGGATGTGAACCCAGTTCTGTGTAATTAAATGATGCAATGCAAGTGGACCTCACACCAAAAGAGCCTGATAACAAGCATATTTCTCTATTAATTCTTAAATGTAAACTAAACCTATTTTCTATTGATAATGTTTAGCAAAAAAGACAACAATTTTTGTTGTCAAACTGTTTTATTGAGAAATCAAACATAAGAATTACAACCTCAACAATATATGTTTGTTCTCTTTTTTTTTATGTGAACATACAACATAAAGACAATACCAAATTAAAACAAAACAAAAGTGACAAAAGACAACAATTTAAAGTAACTTATTTGGTTTAGTGACGACTTTTAGTTAATGAGGATTGAAAAAAACAAACCTCTGATATTATTAGAATATAACTTTTGATGGAGGCCTCTGATACAGGGATGTCCTTTCTTTCAGAAGAGATTTTTTCATCACATTTTTTTGCAGAGGTGTCCATTCACTGCTTTGTCTGTGGAGCCCAAACTGATCCAGAGTGTAGCAAGAGGCTGAAACCAGCCTGGAGACTCAAGGCCACGCTGAAGCTTTTTATTCTCTCCTGTGGCTTTTTTTTTTTTTTTCAATAGTGGAAACTTCCACACCACTCTCTCATTTTCTTCAGCACGTGTTAGAAGCATTTTCACAGATCCCTCTTTAAACCACCAGCAGTCCCATAAAGGGCTTTCATGCTGCCTGAACACATTTATATTCATCATAAATGTCAGTATTTTCCTCCCACTGCAAACTGTCGATCACAATGTTTCACCTAGACATAAAAAATATTCTGAAACAAATGTATAAATTTTAATTAAAACACAAACACATGAGCTATTTGTATTAAAAGATAATTATGAATAATCAGAAACAAACAGCCCATAAAATAAAGCCTTGTCCGTTTATAAAAACTTTTTAAAGCAACATCCCTGTTAGGAAAATTGTTGCATCTTTCATTGTTGTTCACGTGCACGGGATAAAAGTGTCGTGCGTGATGGAAAACACCGAGAAGCAGAGAGAGCACGGAGGTGCATGGTTTGTTTTCGTGGTCGTCGAGATTTATGAATAAATTCCACAAATGAATCATTCAGCTCCCAGCTGTTGCTTCACTCCCCAAAAAGTGCGACATTTGACAGCCACCGGAGACTTTTTTTTTTTTCCAGATCAAACCCAAACTCGAGCAGCCTCTGACTGGGAACATATCAGTTTAGGAGGAGTTTGTGACTCCTGATGCTCTCCCGAGACCTTTTCCCCCAAAACGTTTGGCTCAACCTGAGAGTCAGGCGTCTATTACCGCTTACCGGGGACCTGTGTGTGTGTGTGTGTGTGGGGGGGGATTTTGTGTCGTGCAAAGTCCACTCTTTTTTGGCGGAGTGAACACTTTCTGGGACATGAGCCAAACCGACCGACGTTTATCTTGTGGCAAAATTTGGCCAGAGGGTAAGAAAACAAACGCGAGCGACGTTTCTGCTGAGAGCGCGCCCGGTATGGCGCTCAAAACCGGGACGAGTCAGGTCTATTTAACCCAAAACCGTCCGGGGAGTGGACCCACGCGGCTCAAAGAGGGCGACCATGAGCTCGGACACGGACCCGGCCGCGACATGGAGGCGCGCTGCTGTCAGAGGGAGCTCTTAGACGCGGAGTGCCGCGTGGGCGACGCGCGCGCCTTCTCCGCGTGCGCCTCCATCTCGGACACGGCCCGGGAGCTGTGCAAAGCCGTGTCCGTGTCTCTGGGGCTGGCCACGGAGTCCGGGGACGCGGCGGACTGCGCTCCCGCGCCGTGTTCCGCCGGGAGCGCGCACCCCGCGGGCTCCAGGTACTTTTACGCGCACGAAACCTCGACTCAGAACCGTCACGAGCACCGACACACCGTCCGGGACGAGCGAACGACGCACGGACACAAGCAAACGGCGCAAATGTCCAGAACTTACGAGGGAAATGCGCCTTTCCACCAGCTCCGTGCGCAAAACTTCCCGCTCTGCGAGGCTGAGGAAACGACTTCACACGAGATGGACCACCTGGGAGCACCTACCTACCCGTACGCACCGGCCACGCCGTCCCACTACGGCCACGGGGACGCGCACAGGCCGTGCCACGCGCTCCGGGCCCCGGATTTCGGGGAGTCCAGCGGTTTCCAGCCGGAGCCCCACGCCGCCGTCCGAGTCAAATGTGAGGGGGGGGACGCACCGGGAGCGTGGGCCAGTAATTACACCGTCAGCAAAAAGTGCAGCAGCTCACAGTTTTGGGGGTCCAGGCAGTGCGCGAGCGCGCACGGGACAGGGCCAAACGCCGCGTTCATATGTAATCCGTACGAGGGGAGCGTCGCGCGCCCCGATCAGTGGTATCCAGGCGGGATGCTTAGGAATCCCCATCCCAACCCCAACTACATGAAAAGCGAAGTCGGTGAATGGCTAGATGTTGCCTACAGTGACACCAGGCAAGTAGATTTACTCTTATAAAACTGATCGTCATTATTTTTGTAACTATATTGTAGTCAATCGTCTTAAATTAGAAAATAAGCGTAATGGGAACAACAAGAAATCTACCCAGAAGTTGTTTTTTTATATATATACAGACGTCTGAACTGAAAATGTACATCCGGAGCCTCATTTTAAACTAAGACCTGATGGTGATGGATGGTCTGTTGGCTTAATGAACTTAAACTTTGGAGGCAGGAATCATGACAAAGAACCCTGTGTCCGAATAGTATTTTTGCTCGGACTTCTGTTCTTCACGTTGCAATAAATACCAGAAATAATGTGTAAACAGCAACAAACAGGCTAAGCAAACCAGATGCAAGCCAAGAAAGAAGTTCCTTTACTTTGTGCATGCTTTCAAAATGCACATAAACGTTTTTAGAAGGGGATTTTGTAGGTAACAATGAGACCAAATTTAGAGGATACACGTGTTTAAGTCATTCATGGTGTTAGTATTTGATCTCAAACTAAATTAATCTTAAAAAAGACATTCTTAGTGTAATTTAGGGCACCATTTCATTCAGTAAATAAATAAAGGATAATATTCTTTGTCCTAATAATGCAGAAAAAATGTATTCAAACCCTTTCTTTTCCTCCTGATCCTCTCACAATCCACACAAACTGTAAATCCACCTGCTGTGCCTAAGAAGCACAAAAACAGGAGAAGGTACTCTAATCTCGCCTGGTTCAAATTAACTGATATGTTTTTTTTAAAATGTGACGAGGAAATATTTCTAATTGAGTCTGAAATGTATCTATGGATCTATATTGTATCTTGCATTTGTAGAAAGCTTCCTTTTGTTTTTAAGCTTTCCCCCATAGAGCGTTTTACTGGTATATACAGGCAGCTTATTAAAGTATTTCTCAATTACCTGAAAAGCGAACTGATTTGAACTGTGGGGAACAGACGCATTGACCTTTACTCAAGAGTAGAACTGGACGTGTTTACCGTATTTTTTCTACCCCATACCGAGTTTTCATTCAGCTCATGGCCGTTTTCCAAGTGAGGTGCCTGAGGTAAATGATTAAAAGTGTTGGACACGGGTCTCCTGAGTGTCAGGGGTCAGAACACCGAGGTCCAGCATAAGCAAGCAGAAGTACATACTGTTACTGATATTTATAACCTTACTTTCCTTAAATATTTCTCCTGTAAAGGGCAGCATGTATCGTGGAGAAAGCTGATCGGTGACAAAAGTCTCTCGGCTCGTCGGCTTTTGAGTTTGCAAATGAGACCACCGGGTTAAGAGGGCACTGAGTGCACAGCGATAAACTCTCCAGGCCTGAGTGTTAAAGATCCTCTCAGCATGTGTTGGCTTTAGAAAAATCTGCATGTTTGCTAATATAAGAAAGGTTTCTTTTATGATTGAACTGTTAAGAAAGGGCTTCAAAGCAACATTTCCACATTTAACAGTAACTGGCTGTTGTTGTTGAACAAACCCAGGTCTGCTGGACATTTTGTCTCCAAATTGCTGAAATGACTTCGTGGTATGATTGAGGTTTCCCTTCTGCTAATGCAGCCGCTTCAGGGTTTAAATGGAAATGTGCCTCACCATGGTTTGTCCAGAGAGTACAGTACACGGGTTTAAACGGTGCCTTTTCAGTTACCGGAAGCACGTGGAGCATCTGTGAGGCGAATAAGTGCGTTTTTTTTTTTTTAAATGGGCCAAATCTGAAGTTTGTTTCATTTTTGGCTTGGAGTAGAGTTTAAATACTGAATAAAAATCTGAGTGCGAGGCGTGTAACTTCACATAAACGGCACGCTTACGGCCACTTTGATCTTTTGATCTTCATTCACCCTGAAATGCATCTTGCAGCTTGGCCACAGCCTGATCAGTTAATGACCTCAAAACTGAGAAAAAACAGATGCTCCGGTCAGTTTTCAACTCAGCATGCAGAAAACGATGTAGACATAAGAAACTTGTTTTTTCGCAAAGGCATGTATTTTAAACAGTTTGCTTAAATGCATCTGATCAACAAGCAGGCAGCAAACTCCCCTCCGGATGCTCAACATGCTTAAAAAACGCATTTGGGAGCAATTTAAATACTGGAGACAGACTCAGACAGGTTTTGAATGGGCTTATACTTCTTTATTGAGTGTTTGCAACATAAAGGCAGAGGATAAATGTTTCCACTGTTGAAAGGGCATAAAATGTGGGGGAGGGTACTACAAATTTTTACTGCCCAAAACACAAACTTGAGAACACATGAAATTAATATAGAGCTTATGAAGTCCCCTTTTTCCTTCCTAAAGTTCTCGTTTTTTCATGCTTTCTTTACCCTCTTTTCTAAAAGAAAAAGTTTTTAGACAGCCAGTGGGATAAACTCAACAGTCCAAAATGTCCAAAACTCCAAAATGCAGACGATGGGGTCAAGATTTATTAAAAGAAAGAGGAACAGTGCGATTAAAGTGATCTATAAGAACTTAAATTTTACAAATATTCAAAAAAAAATTTAACTTTGCAAATATGTTCAAGATAAGTCACTTATCTGAAATATAATTGCCCTGCTTTCTTTCTGGATTTGATTTTTTATCATGGTTCCCCATTTTATAATAACATAAAGGAAATAGAGAAAACATTTGTTTCTTGTTGTTTTGCAACTGACACTGAAACCTAATTGACATATTCACTCAGTGTGTGTCTGATCTGTAAAGCGCACATGAGTCATCCATTTCTAAAGATACATCAGCTCCTCCTAACCCTAACCTAGAAGACATTATTCTGAAAAATGACAGAATAATCAGTTTTTCTAGATAACTTTTTTAAATGCACTAAAAGAAGCTTCACAAATTCGGGCAATTTTCCCTCCCAAACGTGCACAACGCTGCACTTCCATGCCCTCACACACAGTGTGTGTAATGCACATTATCATTGTAGTTTATAAAAATTCAGAATGGATAATTCTGCTGGTGTTCCTTCATCAGAAAATTAAAAGCAGAGTCTTGTTGAAACGCCCGCCCCTCTGCTAAACCCATTGAACTAACTTCCTGTTTTCAAAAACAACATGTGTTGAGCTGTTTGTGCCATTTCAGATAATTGCACCATTACAGTTTTTGATCTTCATTAAAAGCTGTGGGAGTTAAAAAAAAAACTGCGTATAGGATGAGATATGCACAAGTAGGATAAAACTAACGATGTGTTTGAGGCTGGGTCAGAAAAACTGTTATTCTGTTTCATATCATTTAAAAGAGCTATTTAAATCGTTGACAGAATGAAACTGTCATGCACATTTTTCTAAATGAATCCTGATAAGGGGGAAGATTTGAGGCAGTGAAACATTTTTTTCTCAGTTCTTTTCCCTTCAACTATCAAGCCTGGTTACAGTTTTTATATCTTAGCATTAGGAACTCCATTTTACACCGAACAAATCTGAGGTAAAACCCACTCTCACAGCTCACATAACAGTCGGGTTCCAGAGAAACTAAATTGTCCGCCCGTACTTTTTGGGGAGATTTTAGATCACATTTCAAACCTACATGAACGCTAAACGTTTTCTAATGTCCTTAAACATGGGGTTGGACCCGGTGGAAGCTTCGTTCTCGTGCCTTTTATGGTGAACCTTGACATCTGTATATCATGTCTCCGTGGCAGCAGCGTTATGTCTGAGACTTCTCTGATTTCTCTGCCGTTCAAGGCTGCAGCAGACTCAACTTAGCTCCCCCACACACACACACACCCCCCCCCCACACCCACACCCCCCCCACCTCCCAGTTCCAGCTCAGACTCTCTCTTACCTTCATTTCCCTCCTTGAATACTGTACAGGCAGCAAAAAAACAACACCAACTAATTAACTTTTGACGGTTTTTAAGTAAATTCTGTTTGTCTTTCAGAGTTTAAAGTTAGCCTCAAGTTTTCCACATGCTGTATCATGATAAAGTCAGACTGAATTAGGAGGTTTTAGCCAAAGAGGGGGGAGCATATTTTCATCTCACTCTAGAAGACCATAACAGAATTATCATAAGAATGAGATACCAAAGGTGTCGGTTCAGCTACAGAGAAACACGCATCAGTGATCCAGTTTCTCATCGACTCTGTTTCTGTGCAGGTTGGAGGCCGGCAGAGAGCACGTGTTCCCCATGGAGTTCTTCTTTCCCCCTCAGAGGACGTGCCTGATCTGCTCAGACGAGGCGTCCGGCTGCCACTACGGCGCGCTCACCTGCGGCAGCTGCAAGGTGTTCTTCAAAAGAGCTGCAGAAGGTAAAGCCTGAAGGGTTCCCCCACTAGAGCCCTTTCCCTGTTTGATCTGAGAGCACCAACGCTCGTTTGAGATGCTTCCTGCTTTTGTAAATGCCGTTATTAAGCAGCTATACTGAGGTTGACTTCCTCTGTTTTCCACGCAGGCAAACAGAAATACCTGTGTGCGAGCAAAAACGACTGCACCATCGACAAACTCCGGAGGAAGAACTGCCCGTCCTGTCGACTGAGGAAGTGCTTCGAGGCTGGAATGACCCTCGGAGGTAGGAAGCGTTATGACACTAATGTATTTTTCAAAGAAACGGTTTAACTCGACGCTGTGCGATATACGAGAAATATCCATATTTTTCAGTCACGAAAACGTCAGTCATATTTCACTCTGTGACGTGTGAGATGTGAATGATCATGTACACAGAAGCACCCTCTATATGAATTATGTAGTATTTATAAAAGAATATGTGGTGAGAATTTGCATCACTTCAGACTTTGCACAATTTCGTAGTTAGTAGAACAAAGACAAGGTCTCACAACTTTTTGGGGATTTGAATTGTATTATCTGGTTCTGTGTGTCCAAAACAAATGTGAAGAGGTCCAGGGTATGTTCTGTCTTTGTCATTGGTCTGTAAGTTATGTACATTGTTTTTTAAATGTAATTATTACTTAGAATTCAAGGAGGTAAGTCTTTTCCATTTCCTCTTGGTGCACCTTTCCATCAACTAGAGATTAAATTGTTCGTCGTTTCTCATTTCAACGCGTTGCAAATATCTTTTTTCTTTATAAACTGGATTCATCAGCACAGGCTGAGAATTTGCGTAAATTTAGCATTGCATTTTACAAATTTTAGAACTCGTTTTTTTTCTGTGGACCGTTTCCTGTTTGGTTGTTTTTAATTATCCCGATGACAAAGGACTATATCTTTGTAATGATGAAAACGATCAGCAAACTGGATACCCACATATTGGAGGTCAAACTGAAGTATTTGTGTTTAATGTGAGCTTGAATGGGATTTAGAAAAGAGAGCAGCAGATACGCATAACTTTGGAGAGCCATACTGTACATAGTCACACTTGTGCTTTTGTGCATACACACCGTTTTAGAGTTTTTTGCAAGTTTGTGCAGAAAATTGCTATAGGTTTACAGGCATATGCACGGGCTTTGATGGCTCCTGAAAGAAAAAAAAAAAGCTGTTGTGGACTATGTACTAAAATGAACAAAGCACACGACGGAGAAAGCGAAATCTTAGGAGTGAAGCTATTAATGGCTTCCCAAGACCGAGTACTTTATTCTCTCTGCAGTGCACATCTGAGCTGGTCCTCTTCAATTGCAGCATCATCACAATAGGGGATGTTACTGATAATCAAGCCCCTGACTGCGCCGCCGTGCAATTTGGAGCTCTTCCATTCGCTTCCCCTCACTGTCACCCGGACCTGTTCGTCACATTAGGCTGCAGAGATTGACATGTAGTGGACTAATTTTAGTCTTGTGTTCAATTTTCACTCTCTTCCATTTTTCTCATTCTGTTAACGGTGAAAATTGTGCCGGAGGCACAAAGCTGACACGAGACATGTGAATTAAAGCGGCAGACTCGCCGGTAATTTCGCCACCAGTCGCAGAAAAAAAAAACCCCAAGGAGGGAAAATGTCATCTAATGCTGCGATTGTGGGGGGAAAGGCACACCTTTTGGAGTTGTGGCGAAAAAGATCCTTTCACTTATGTTTTCATCATGGACGTGTAATTCACTCCTTGGATTTCATTGGGAAATTTATGACAATAACGTGCAGAGATGGTTTCAGAAAAATTCTACATCTAGGACATATTACTAGTAATTTTCTTAATTTGAAATATTTGTAGTGGTACAAAAATACACACACCCTCTATATATATATATATTGTAGTGAAAAATATATTCTCCTAAAAAACAATCTTTCTATAATGAAACAATATCAATGGGCTCTTTGTTTCTTGTAACTTTTTAGGTCGAATTGCGATGATAATCAGCACAATCTCTGAATCTCTTTTTCCATGTTTGCCATCTGTCCAAGATGGCAGATGAGTTATTACGAGTCTGTTCTTTTCCTTCTGTAATTTAAATTCCAGATTATTTCTGGAACATTGATTTCAGCCATAAACACAAACTCAGCAGGTGGGTTACTCCTGGTAAACCATGGTAACGGTTTGAGTTTTAAAGAACTTGCCTCTTTTCCTGCACTAGAATCACATTCATTCCTTTAAAGGTTCGTCAATAAGAAACTCACAAAAACATTAAGAATCGTAACTGAATATGAGACGTGTCAACATCTGTGCAGGCTACCGTTTCACAACTAGCACAATAGAGTTGAACCTTTTAAAGTTAATGATTGACAAAAGTCATCGTATTCCTCCTGCTTCCCAATGGAAAAAAAGCAGGGCAGTGGGGCTCGTCTATTCTGTCAAAGCTCCACTTCCAGATCAAGTTTTTGTCTTATATTAAATAAGAACAAAAATCCACAAGTTCATTTGTCACGGTGACATTTTTGTTCCACTGAATAGTGAGTAGTTTTAGTTTTAGGAGCATGAGCATGATTGTTGAGCAGGCTGAGAACAGGTAACACTTAAGTTGATGATATCTATTTTAACTTCCACTCTTTTTCAAAACGTCCCAGTGCTATATTCCTACTTTGATCCCGTCAAGCTTCAGATGCCATAGCTTCATAGCTAGTAAAAGTAAATACGGTTCAGTAGTAACACGTTGTAACCAAGAGGAGATAATAAGCACTAAGCTGCGTTTCTAAGCCCCTACTTATCATTTAGACAGAGAAACCGCTGCATATGCGTGTCTGAGTAAATGTTCTGGTCCGTAACGTTGGATCTAAAGTCATAATTAAAAGCAATTCTTTCCAGACCTGTTGCTCAATTTTTTTTTTTCACTTTAAACAATTCACAGTCAGGACTGAGAATTGAATATTTCACCAAAAAGGCCTGATTTGGACATATTTCACCACATAAAAAATTGTTAAGTTGATGCAACGGAATGTAATACACTGCTGAATTCAAGAGGAAAAAGACTTTGTGGTTAAATCTCTGATATAATGTAAAAAATGAAGGAGTACCAGATGCTTTGTGTCTCTTCTACAGGGGATGTCTGAACAACTGATGAGCTCTCAGCCAGACTGCCTCAGTGCTTGTGTTTATTGATTTTGACTTTCTCGTTTGCTGTGAAAATATGTATTAACCTTTATGGAGTGTTCAGACCACCAGCAGAAGTTTAAACCCTCAACATGAACATTTCCGCCGGTTCGAATCGTAAAATCTCCTGAAATTGTTTGTTTGTATCTGACCATAATGTAAATATCTGGAAGAGTCTATTTCCAGCTCCCATTCCCAACATATTTTTTGTGTTATAGTTATGTATGCTCCCTGGTTTGTTTTTAGTCAGAGCCTTGTTGTTCTGTCCTTTTATCAGTTCTCTGTTTAGTTCTCTGTTGTTCTGGTTGTCCACTCTCACCCTCTGGTGTGTTATGTCATTTAGTTTTTGTTTGGGTGTAATCGGTGGAGATGTCTCAGGTCAATAGTAGTTTTTCTCCGTATTATGAAAGAGGCCGGTTAGAGGTTTGTGTGCCGGTTAGCAGTGTTACCTCACAGCTCTTTTCTCTGTGGACTTTGCATGTTCCCCAGCAGGACTTTCTCTCTGGGCACTCTCAAAGAAAAGAAGCCTTTGATTTCTTTGTATCTCCATTTGTTCTACATATTGAGACTTTAATGCATCTGTTAGGTTAGGTTAACTTGATTTTAAACTTACGCACAGTGAGCCAGTACACAACAAAAACATGATCTCAAAAAGTAATGTCAAGCTCTTATTTGCCTTAGATAATGTTTGCCTGTCACTCAACTCAAATCCAAAACACACAGACAGAAAAATGGCGGATGAGAGAGTCAAATTGGGTTAACAGAACAAAATGTGAAATAAAAGGTTCAAGAAAGGAACTCCAGGTCACAGAACTTGAATCAGAAGAACTGAAAAGGGACCAGAAACCGAAATATCTGACATACAAAGACTATGAAGCCAAAGCAAAGACAGAAATTGAATTTAAAGAGAACATGTTCAAAATAGAACATGAAACAACAAAAACCAAAGCCCACAAAACACACTAATCTGCACGCGGGCTACTCATTCTTTAACAAACTGAAGTTATTCCTCCGGGTTAGCAGTGTTTATCCGGTTAACAGAGAATCTCAACCAAGCTCCCGTGTACTTTGAAAAAGTACAACATGGTAGAAAAGAAAGAAAAAAGAGAGAAAGAGTTTCCTTTCTGCCTGCCGTTTATACAAAAGTGACACAAATTAAGGAGTTAACCCCAGGAAGGTCTTTGTGATCCCAACACTGTAAAAATGGCTCCATCTTAATTCCGCCTGCAGTTTAAGCTACAGACCTTTTTTCACAGCAATAACATTTTGACCTGGCACAGAATGAAAAGCACACGTTTAATGAAGGGCATTAACAAAGAGAGGGTTGGTCTCCGTGCCCCCGTAACCTTTACACTGAGCCGGCGTGAACAGCAGGAGCCTCTCAGGGGGGAAAAAGCAGCCATTATTGATACACGTGTGGATATTTAAGACGTGACATGTCAAAATGTCTCCTGTGATAATGGGCTGTCGCGTTGAGTGGTTGTCCATAGAGATACAATTTTAAACTGGTTTGGATAATGCTTGTTAAACAGAGCACACACACCAGCAACAGGCCTGTTCACCCCTCTTTGGTCAGTTGTTTTTTTTAAAACAGTTTATTATTATTATTATCATTATTTTACATAGAAATTAAGCTTTTTTGAGTAAGAACTTCTGTTAAGTTTTCTGGAGATGATCATGACTGGATGAGTGTTAAAGTCACATTTAGTGGGAACATGGATAATCAGGGAAGAATCATTTCTGTGTTTTCATAATCTGATGGGGGGGGGGGAAACATGTTATAACGCCAGTATCATATTTGAAGTCTTTTATAAAGCTAAATTCACAATTCGCATTTTTCCCTTTTTTTCCCTTTTACAATAAATTTTTGGTATTTCTCTAGATTGCGCCTGATACCATGTAATGGGATCTGTGAGGTTGCGAGTGACGGGTGATTTGGACGGTTTTATCACCCCCCTCTTACCTCTTTATCTTTGTGTCAGACTGTCAGTCACTGCCATTACAGAAACCCAATTTCATTGGCCAAATAATGAGGTAATGACGTCCCAAAACCCAGGACCCCGAAGTGAAAAAAAGGGATCTGCCCCGTCACAAAAAATGAATTTGAAGAAAAATACGTGGCGCTAAACTGACCGTTGCATTTTTTTTATGCAATCAAGCCCCCCCCCAAAAGACAGAAATGGTGATTATAATGAGGATGATACTGGTTAAGGCACAAAAGGAAGTGAACTAAGAATTTGAGACGCCTGAGTAGAAAATGAGGAGGGAATTTCACGTGTGCAATTTGATTTTGTGAAGAAAAAAAAAGAAAAGAAAACAGTAGTTTTTTCGTTCTGCAGCCTTTTCACGAGAGGAAACAATGAAACTGGAATCAGAGTTCAGACTCCTGGTCAACGGAGTAATTGCCCTCTTGGCCTTTATCGGTGGTTGAATCCATCTTTTTGGTGTCTCCATCTGTTTATACTGGCTTCAGCTCAAGTATGGAGACGTGAAGGTTAGTTCAACCCAACCTATTTACTCTGTGCTCTGCAAAGATCAGCTGCCTGCCTGTGTCACAACTCACAATCCCGGGGAGAGGAATTTTAATCAACCATTTTTACTTGAAATGTTTGTTTTCGGATCAGGGAGGAGAATGGAAATCTTATATAATCTGCAATTTTCTTTCAGCACTGCTGCTTTTGAGTGGGACTTAAGTCGTGTCTATAACTAGCGGTTCAATATTTATCAAACTGAACAGAGGAACGAGGCCACGGTTTAATGAGACGCTTTCCACAGAGCCTGCCAGAGGCAATTTCATGACAATTAGCAGTCATTTTTTACTGTCAGTCAACACTCATTATATGAGAAATAATATCCTACCGCCTATTTTGATCATCTGAATAGTTGTTTTTCCTCTAAAGGGTACAGATCCGCGAGTCCATTAGAAGAAATATCTGAACATTAGGAATGTCTGTTTTAAAATCCTCTCATCATAATCACCGCTTGTGTTTTTTTTCTTTCATTCTCAGCTCACTCATAAGCGACAGGCTGAAATGAAGCTTAAATCTTTGTGTCTAAAAGGGTCACTGACTGTTATGAGTGACCGATTAGTTCTCAGAAACAAGACTAATGCATCTGGTAGCAGTTTGACATATTAAAATGATCCTGTTCTGATCCCATCACAGGCTACTTTACTTTAAACCTGCTTTATTCAAAGATCTACATACCCATTGTTAATGCAAAAAGAAAGAGGTAAAGCAATCATGCTAGTTAAACTTTACTGTTAAAAACATGTCTTTTTAACAGTGTGCAAAATAAAGATTAAAAGTCCTTTAAAATCCACATTGTTGGTAAGGACTGAAATACGGTGAGAGGCCCCTCCATACGATGAGGCGCATGTGTTCAGGTTTTTTCCATTAGATGGAATACGATTAGGTATATGGGGAGCTTTTTGTGGTCTGTTATTGAGAATAGTTGGGGAAAATTGATATGCCCCTTGAAAAGATTAAAAGCCTTTTAAACCCCACACTTGAATGAAGCATTTCTCAGACATCATTTGGAGCCGTACAGCTGCTGGGAGTCCTGGAGACGCATGTTTTCTCAAATGTTCCTGGAATTATAGGATTTGGGGAAAGTGATGATCAATCCGTGAGATAGTTCATTAAATTTGTACCATCACTAGGGTTGTCAAAAGTATCGATACTCGAAAAAGTATCGATACTAAAATGTTGTATCCGGATACAATACTCATTTTCAAAAGTATCAATACCACCATCCCTTCTCTCTGATTTATTTATTTATTTACGTTTTTTATGATCATTAACAAGACGTTAGCCTTGCTAGCTGCGGCTAATGGCTAATAATAACATGCTACCCTTAATCAAGTACATATCCAACTCCGCCCACATCCAAGTCAGCCATTTTGATTAGGTCACCAATAGGAAGATCCCAGGCAAGAAAAACGTAATTGCTTCATGGCAATATAGACGTTCATTTAAAAATAGATAAATGAATCTTTCAAACACTGAATTAAACTCTATACATATTATGTTAAAATAGTGTATGTTAAATAGGTTAGTGCAATAAGTACAAACAAATTTAACCCAAAAATATTTTTTGCTCACAATTATGAAAGCTGGAGGGTTAGGGTTAGGGTTAGGGTCAGGGTCAGGGTTAGGGTTAGGATCATTAATGTGGGCCACCAGTCACGATAACATCAGTAACAGGTCAGTTTGAAATGAAAGACACAATTCAGTAAAATTTGGGGGTCTTTGTTTTTATCCTTGTGGTATTGAAAATGGTATTGAGTATCGAGTATTTTCCTGAGTATCGGTATCGAGTTGAAAATTTTAGTATCGTGACAACCCTAACCAGCCCTGAAATCGTCAGCATGTCACTTTTTAAACAAAACGAGTAAAAGATTAAAAAGGTTTGTAAAGATATTAATTCTGGGTGTGATGCCGAGTTTACGTCAACTTCTGCTTTCAAAGGGAAAAAAGTTAATGATCTCAGTAATGACGGACTCGTTTCTCTCTTTTTTAGCGCGTAAACTGAAGAAGATCGGACAGCAGAAGAACCCCGAGGAGGATCACCCGGTTCAGGAGGCGGCAGAAGTCGTCCACAACCTCTCCCCCACCTCGGGCCCCAATTTCAACTCTCAGCTGGTCTTCCTCAACATCCTGGAGTCCATCGAGCCCGAGGTGGTGAACGCCGGGCACGACTGCGGCCAGCCGGACTCAGCGGCCAACCTGCTGACCAGCCTCAACGAGCTGGGCGAGAGGCAGCTGGTCAAAGTGGTCAAATGGGCAAAAGGACTGCCCGGTAAGGAAGGCAATGCCAGCTGCTGATTGGCCGGATTTTATTCACTTATATGTGGATCTATAGACTGAGTGAAGAGAAAGTTGCTGAATCTGACCCAAGCCGTTTTTATGTAAGACGCTGGTCGCAATGCCAGCTGCTGATTGGCCGGATTTTATTCACTTATATGTGGATCCATAGACTGAGTGATGAGAAAGTTACTGAATCTGACCCAAACATGGTTTAAAAAACAGAAAAAAAGCTTATAACCCTATAATGCCAAATATATTATATTTGATACGGTTTATGAAGTCTTTTGGATCTGAGACTTTTTGCATCATTCAATGGTAAAAGCTGGCCGGATTTTATTCACTTATAT